CGATCCCCTACCGTCCAGTCTATATGCGCCGTCTTGTACCATTACGCCACCGAGTTCTGATGCGATTCCTCGGAAGATAACATACTTATAAATCTTATGGATTAGGCTCATTAGGAATGCCATGAATAGCAGATAAAGRCAACTTGAATAGCTTTTGTTTCATAAAGCCGTCAGGGAATTGAAGAACAACAAACGGTGCTTCATGTATTCTCATACTCATTAATTATTCATGAGGTATCCAGCCAATCCCTGATTGTAATTTGTACCACGTGCAGTAACTGGATACCAGAGGAAGTACTCCAGTCCTCGGCTAACGCCTCTCCCCGTCCAGTCCTCATTGTCGGACTTTAAACATTACATCTGGTTCGATTCTCGACTCGAGCAGCTTCTATATAATTAGTCAGTTGAAATTGAGAAGTTCATTAAAGACGACAGAGAGACATGTTTTCAACTCTGTTGTTTTTTTGGCTACGTTAACAAATAAGTTGTGAATGAAAAGTTCCCATACCAGAAAATTAATTTTGTTTTCTTTCTTTTTTTAACTTTAAAATATACTCGTTCTTTTTTTCTTTCTAAAATCATTTTATGCAAAATAAACTTTCATCTAAATCATATAAATTCTCTGACGATAATGCGAATGCAATCTGAATGCCAAATTTTCGCTGCTTTCTTTTTCTTAAGGTTGAATACGAGACTGATGATGAGACTACGATCGGAGAGAACATCGCATGTGGAGAATCAAATGACCCCTTTGGCAAAGCCTATGCTGCAGCCAACAACTTCCAGGTCTTTGTTAAGAAGTTTAACCATTATCTCAAGATGCCAGATGGAGGGATGAAGGTGGTAGGCAGTAGAAAACAGCAGTGTAAACAGCTGATAGACATTGCGTCCGCAATAGGCAATCCAGAAACAATCAAATGTTTCTTCAATAAGGATAAGCTTTTCAAATGTTTTGTCAAAAAAAATCTCGATCTCAGAAGAAAGGATGCCAAGTGTGGCATGTCCGGCAACACGCTTGTCGTTTACCTGCGGACGTTGAGCCGATTTGCTTCCTACCTACTCAATAATTGTGAGCCTATGGATATCAAGGTAATTTTTTTCAAAACTGCATCTCCTCAGCCAGCTTCTGACGCAATATTCCATCACATTTCAGGTAAAAACAATAATTCAAGAGATACTTGAAGTGCTTCCCAACTGGAGGTCTTCCCTTACATCTACACGATGTGAAGAAAAGTGTAGAAGAGAGTGGAATGAGCGAAAGGTGAAACTTACTCCAGAGCATATCATCCAGATGAAGGGTTCAGAACACTACAGTGAAATGAAGAAAATACTAGAAAACCCCCACATCTGCTCAAGAGACACTGGCGAGAATCTAGATATAAAGAACTTTTTAATCTTCCGCATTTCAATTGAAAACGCGAACCGTGCTGGACCAATAACAAAAATCACTTTGTCAGATCTTGATTCGTGCCAAAATTGGGGTAGCAGCAAGATTGTGCACATAGCACACCACAAAACAAATGTAGTCTACGGAGGAGCGTTGCTTTTCATGTCAGAAGACCTGTTTAACGACATCAAAGTTTACGTAAACATATTTAGACCAATTGTCGCAGATCTTGCCTGCACAGAAGTCTTTTTGAGCCGAAACGGTCAACCGGTCGACAGCTCWCACGTAAATTCTTGTTTAAAGAGCTTCGCGAAGAAAACTAATGTTCTTCCACCCGAAATTCTAGAAAGGTTTTCTTCAACAGCCATTCGTAAGGCTGCTGTAACTAACACTAGAGGGTTTACTGAGATTAAGAGACGCGAGTTGGCCACCTTGATGGCCCATTCCTTGAATACAGCTGAGAGATATTACAATCTTGATAACAAGATTACAATGGCATCAAACGCCCACAAAGCAATCTCGGCGCTGTTCAGCGGACCTTAAAAAAAAGTAGTTGTATACATTTGTAGCGTCTTTAAGGTTGGCATACAGATTCATCATTGTATTAGCACGTTTAGTAAGTTTCATTGATTCATAAAATTTATATTACGCAAAATAAAGAGAGGCAAACGGACTACAATATACATGCAGCAAGATAGATTCCATACTACACATTTTGACAATATTCATAGTGAAAGCATCGGAACTCAAAACAAAGACCTCATGTATACTTGTCATATAAAACTACTCTAGATTCCGGATATTCTAGTCAATCGAATATTTCTGGACTCTGGATTTCAAAATTATTGTGGAGTCTGGATTCCATGATTCTGGTCATTTAMATTTTTGGGTCACGGATAATCGCAAGGAATCGAATTCCAGATTCAAAAGTTATTTTTTGGGGGGTTACTGACACAAAGAAACGTTTTTAAGACATTTTAAAAAGTCAAACGAGACAGAGAACAAGTGATGTTGAATCACGGTTATTTYAATTTTGAAAGATTAGAACAATATTTTGGTTAAGTTCTGAAAATAGTACTAAATACTCAGTAAGGAGTGATCGATCATACTCCGAMCATCTTTCTGACAGGTCGGTACATTGCCAGTTTTTGACGTCACGAAAATGGCTGCCAAAGGACTTTCTCTTGCTCTCTTGTATTTATGATTAATACTTGATGTAACGTAAACAGTAAGAACAATCGGAAAATTAAATGCATTATCTTATATGTTAAAATTTTATATGTTGTAACAGATATCGCTTAATGGGTTTATTCAARATAACTTAGTAAAATGTAAACCCTATGTCAAGACAAGAAGACATCTAATATAATTTGYTTTAGACGTATTAAAGTTATTAAAACTGCGTGTATAATTTTTTTTGTTACAATCTTATTTATACTGCAAGACTGATCGAGCATACACCGTTATAARAAAACACAGCAAGCATAAAAAGTGATCCATGTAACTAATAGCACTTTTGGCGGTTAGAAAACAAACTGCGCGAGGAGCCTGTGGATTTGCACGACATCGAGGCAGAATCGGTCAAAAATCCAAAAATTGCCCTTTTAAAGCTTGTTTATTGTGTAATGTCAGGAAAACACATTTGTTGCTGAAAAAAGTCATGATTTTGACATGGCTGTGTAAAAATCAGGCGCGTAGCGTGGACTCTTTGGCTAGTACTCACATGTCAGGGACCGCGACACATATATTATGGATTGAGGGATTAACGACCCCCGACGACAAGAGTATCAAAGGGGGTCKGGGGGTTCTCCATAGGGAATTGTGAAATACTAACTCTTGGAAATGCGATTTCCACCGTTTTTAGGTTCTTTTTGATAACGAAGCCTTGGTGCGACAGAGCAAGCAAAGATAATTACATTTAAAAAAATCCCGAAAATTTTAACATTTCCTTGCCACTAGTACGCACGTGCGTATATGCATAAAGGACGCTATCCGCCTGAAAATATAAATGTAACACCGTAAAATTCGAAAAAAGYCGGTGAAACAACTTACTGACGTCAATTATATTTAGATAAATCGATGTAGAGTTGGATATTTGACATATTTAGTATATTTTGAGGTATTGAGTATACAATATATATGTCGACAAGAGAAACGTCGCCTTATATCTCCCTACATGACAAGTCTATATCTTCCGTTGTACATTTTGTGCATGTTTCCAGTGTTGACGAGTCCCGAATCCAAAAAAGGATATTTGAAAAGTCCTGTATCAGGGTATCGATGTGGTTAACAGTGAGCGGTGCAACTATCGTATGTTTGGGTAGTGATGATCTGATAAATCACATAATGTTGTAACGCACGGCTTCTTTGAGAGTCATCTAAAGAAGCTTAGCACGTCCTACAGTAATTTATCAATAGATAATGTCAATTGCACAGTGCTCGGTGAGAACAACTCGTTATAATCAACCATGAATCTTGATTGGCGAAGTCTATTCGTGGTAGCCCGAAAATATGACGAGAAAAGCACAAACGCGCGCTTTCTTTGCCAAAAAACTGGTCACGTGATGAATCGATATGCGTATCACCAGATCAGTACATAACCAGAAGTTTCCATCTCGCTAGTAATCTCGTCACCATCACATGTCCCAGTAAATCTAKTTATAAAATCGAAGATGTTGGCTGACTGCGCTAAGATTTTATAGACAAAAAGAATTACAAGAAGTTTCTTAATACACATATTCATATTTCGGACGACATCAATCGTCCATCATCAGTGTATTGACTTGACTAAGTTAACACGTTCACCTACGAGCTCGCCAATAACAACAGTATTACGTTTCTTGACACGTTAATTACATGGAAATATCAAGATAATAAATTCGAAACCACCGTCCATCGGAAAACAACAAATACTAACCTATAAGTAGTAGGCACTGCATGATTCGACCCCCGAAAATAGGTGGTAGGTGGTAGGTGGGTATGCTAATGAGGCAAAAGTGAAAGGGGAGGGGTGGTCAAAACGAGTAGGTGGTATAAATTATTTTA